CTATTCAGACAACTCATTCTGACAGTTTATATTCATAGTTATTAATGTAGTAACGATTAATCAAAAGATATGACGTATTCAGTACTTAGTGTGATTGGCTTTATGATTAAAGGTTACGCCCTAGAGTCTTTTACTGTTTTGTAATTGGTTAGAGTTTTGAAAATGAATAAAGAGAGTTTGAGTCGGTCTTGGCGAATACTCCACAACACACGCAGTCTAGAGCAGTCCTGGAGAGCCTTGGGGCGAGTGTTGACGCAGTCTAAGAGAGTCTTGGGTCAGCCTTGCGATAGTCTTGGGGATTTTTCTCCAGGGCGCCGTGTCTTATAGAGTGCTCGATTGATCGACTAAGACGAGAGCTGAAACGTATTTCGTTGTGTGCGTCTTATTTGACTGTAAAGTATAAGGGGCTTTCCGGATCCCATACCTCAAGGGGACGCGATATAGAGACGAGACGAGATTCCCCCCTGGCACGTGTGGAGAACCCAGAGAGAGAAGAATTTCCCCCTGATAGTATATGCAAATGTTGGAAGATGTGTTCTGATTTGTTGTAAAACAACGAAAATGTCATCAACAAATGAAGCAAACAAGATTCACGATTTTTTCAAAATTATTGGACATTTCTTGAGACATCGGTCATCTTTAGGTTTATTTTAATATCAATATCAAAAAATGAATGTTACCTCCATCCCGACCTAGTGTCGGCATCCAGAGAGTGTGTGTCACAGGGCTATATTTTCAAACATTTTGATTTGATTCAGGTTTTTAATGCTTTAAAAGCTACACGATTTGTTTCTAATTTGCTGATCTACATAAAAATGACAGTTTTATTTTTTGGTCAATTTCTGAAGAAAACAAACACAAATTAGAGCTTCGGTTTTAGTTATAACTGTACTTATACCAGTTATGTTTCTTTCTTTTGGTCTTTTTCCAATTATTTTTTTCTTAAAAATATCTTAATATTAGTTTAGATTATGAGGTTAATACGAGAATATCTCAAAGTTTGCACAAATGCAGTACAGCGGAAGAATCGACCGACGTGCAAGGCTATACGTCATGGGAATGCCGAAATCCCAAATGTTTAGAACAGAATCAGCAAACTTCTTTGTTTGGATCCGATCAAACCCTGGTGGCAGCCATGTTTGTTTATATTATTAGAGAACATTTACGCACATAATCATTCTATATTTGGAATTTGCATTTCCTAATATGGAAGGATGAAAATACCGAAAAAAAAATTACGGCACGCCATAAGTTATGGCATTACGGTGACAGATGTATAATAATAGTATTTAACACCACTCAATTTTCTGAAACAAAAATCAAACAGTGTTGAAAATGATTGTTGGACAAAAGGTACTGTATTTTCTGCATAATAAATAGAACTAATATATGCTGGTGTGTTGGAAAGGCAAATATGACTACCTATAACATTTTAAATTTTTTTTAAATTTTTAGAAATCCATCCATATCTTAATAAAGTCCTTGATGCTATGATATTATGAAGTAAGTCTTCATGGTTTTACATTTTATAATGAACTATAAACATCTATTTCTTTTGAAAACAGCTCACGGTGCGGCCTCAGATTGGAGCTCAAATTTATGGATATCTTGGAATCAATCTTTACGTACTCACTGCTGAACTTAGAATGACTGGATATTTGATGACAATCAGCTTTCCAACAAAAGCACAAATACAATTTGATCATTTTCCAATAGATGTTGCGTAAGTATACAGTAGCTGATATGTGAGGTTATCATTAGAATACTGCAATGTACGCAAGAGGGCAGAGCGATTGTCGCGACTGGCAAATTCAAGATTATTGACATCACAATCACAAATACTTTGTTTACATCAGATTCAGGATCACTATACCATGTGATGGGAAGAATGTTTGCAAAATTCAAGTATGCACAGGATCAAATTGATTGTACCGACTGACACATCCCAGATGATGATGTGATTCTGAACTGCCTGAATGAATACTTTTCAGTACTCTTATATGAACCATTTCATTATACTTAAAATGAGATACAAGATCTTAAAATTGCAAGAACACGAAATGTTTTAAACTACGTACTAAACATTTGCATTCAGTGACATGATTTTATTTCCATCCTGTGTGTCAGTATGTATGTAAACATCGTGTGGGGGAAATCATAGTGTATATAGCGCTACGTGTATAATTATGTGACATTTTGATCAACCCTTCTGTTTAGTCCTCGTTGGAACAAAGTTCTAACCGGGGTATTTATAAATCGATCTTCGTCTGTTCGTCCGTCTGGAGTCATATTTCAGAAACCTATGGACCAAATCTGTTAATTCTCGCTTGTGCCTAGTACATTATCTTGTACATATGCATTACTGATTCAATCCAAGATGGCTGACTGGCAGCCATTTTGTTTTTTGAGATGGTCGTTTCTTATGCATGCTTTGTCAGTTTTTGTTCAAATTTAGTACATACATTGTACATTTAGAAACCATTTTCAATCATATTCAGCACATACATTATACATGTTGAGATACATTTCCATGTTGATTTGTTTTGTGTTTCGGATCTCTGTACATGAGCCTGGTACCTGGATACGTACACATATTCTTTAAAAATTCTTTCATTTTTTTTGCAGTGCCCGTATGGACATGAATCTGGTTCCTCTGCGTCTAGAACTCCGAGCAATACTGACATTTGAAATCTATATTAATCTTGCTTTTTCCTCAATCCACATCAAGAAAATCTTGTACAATCAGGTCTGGTGGGAATATACCACTCCTATGATCACTGGTAATATTTTTAATATTGGGGAACTGGAACCTGATGAAACACCTCCTGTGTTTAAACCCATGACACCAAGTAAGATTAAAAGCAAATCACATTACAAAACAGCATCTGTCCAATAG